GGGGGGGGGGGGGGGACAAAACAAGTTATGATCGATAGAAATATATTTTAGGAATTTTATCACAAGTTACTCAAGAACTCGATAGTCCACTGTTATATTTTTTTCACATGGTCACCTTTTGATAGAAATTACACTTTGATGAAAATGAATGTGATTTTTGTTGTCTCTATAACTGACACTCCTACAATTTTTTTTCTCGGTACCCGGTCCTTATTTTAAACTCTCAATAAATTTGAATTTGCGTCGATAAGCTCGCTCATACGGAGACCTCTAGTAAAGATGATTGTGCATAATAACTCGAGCTCAGAGGAGGTAACGCATGACCAGTGATGATTTTTAAATGCGATTTAAAAGATATAAATAAAATTGAATATATATTTTTAAATTTACAATGTCTACACTTCCTTTTCCCTTTCGCTGAAAAGAATTACGTTGAGATAATATTGCTGTAAAATGTCACATGCATGCTCTCTATAAATAGGTAAAAGAAAGTGTAAATGCTAGTGATGCTATCAATGTTAGCTTTCACTTTCTGATTACCATAATTAGAGCTGTCAAAAGTCAAAACGGGCTAGCCCATTCCATCCCAAGCCTCATGGGCTTTTTAAATTTGGTGGGTTAGGGCAGGCCGGCCCTCTATCTATATGGGCCTTAAAATGGCCAGCCTAGCCCAGCCCTAAGGGAGCCGCAGGCTAGGGCGGCCGCCCCTTCAATTTTTTAGGAAAAAATATTTCTTCAAATCTTTAGATATTTTTTTGTGACATAATCTCTTAATCATATGAACGACTTCTGTTTATTCAGAGTGTACAAGAATCTTGATATTTGACAAGTAATCTCGTAATTGAAATGCAAATTCTCTATATCTCTAGCTCTTCTTTTTTTAACGTTACATGAATATTTTCTTAGTACTTTTCTTTCACTTTCCTTAGGTTCACGAATTGTTTCAATAAGTTTATATGTTAAGGTTTTATATTTTAGGTTTATCATTATTTGTTGATCTCATCATCATAGTCCATAATTTTTTTAAAATTTATGACATTTGTTAGTGTTGTCAAATTTCTTTGGGTATTAAAACTTGACCTTTTACTATACTGAAGAGCAATTTAATAATTAATAATATATTAAAGTAACCAAATTTGTCATTTGCCACTTAAAGTAATATTTTCTTTTGAACAAAAATTTATTATTGGCCACTTAAAACTTTCCTAGTTCGTAGTTAATTAAGCAAAAGAAAAACTAATCTTGTCATACTACGTGCATATCAAAAATATAAATTCTAGTTGATATGGAAGGATAAATGAGCAATCTAAGGTTGAAAAATGGGGATTATAGTTAATATTTTTTTAGCTTTTACTTTTTTTAAATATTTAAATTTGAATCCAATTAATTTTTGGTCCACAGGCCGGCCAAGGCCCGGGCTCAGGCTCGGTCAAGCCTCAAGGGCCAGCGGGCTGACTTGGGCCGGGCTTATAAGCCTCACTTTTAAATAAGCTAAAAAAATCCCAACTCAGCCCTACCCAAGTAGCGGGCTTTTGACGGCTCTAACCATAATAGGGAAAAACACCACTTATTGGTTACCATAAAAGTTAATATAGTTGAACCTCTACATAACAGTATCCTTATATAACCATCATTTACTATAAAAGTCAAATTTTTTCGGAACCGATTTTTATATTACGTTATAAGTAATATATGTTCTCTATAACAACACTTCAGTATAACAGCCAAAAAATATCGGAACAAACGAGGCTGTTATAGAGAGGTGTATTGACCATATATGGATCTAAGGTTTAAATCTGTGAGTTTAACGTTTAAGGTTTCTTATATTGAGCTATATTTTTAAAGTTATAGATTAATATCTACTACTCTCTGTTAACTCATTTGACTGAGTACGGAGTTTAAGAATAGATATAAGACTTTTAAACTTGTGGTGTAAAATGAGGCATATATATTTTATGTGGTTATAAATCATCGCATAAAGGTAAATTATTACCAAATAAGGAAAGAGGTCATTCTTTTTTATACGGACTAAAAAGAAAATAAATTTACATAAATTAAAACGAATAAAGTATTTATTATAATTTTAATAAAATTTTACATATAAATTTATATTTCGCGTTTAAAATTATGGGTCAAATCGAACTCTTGGATTCAGTGGTGCATTCGCGATTATGATTAATGATAATACTGTATATGCACATCTCATATTGCATTCATATTGAATTGACGTTGAACTATCATTTCAGAAAATTATTTAAATATTCTTAGTTCGCTATAGCAAAGAAACAAAATTTAGTCGAAAATTTGTCATTTCACTCTTAAATTTATCACAACAACGACAATCCAGTAAAATCTCACCAAATGAAGTTCGAAAAGAATAGAGTGTACGCAGATTATACCCATACTCCAAATAAGTAAAAAAACTATTTCCAAGAGACCCTTGCTCAAAAAGCGAATTAAATTTATCAGAAAATACAATAAAAATTTGTCAATGTTATAGAAAGCTATCAGCTACTATATTGAATTCAAGTTATAGCCTGTTGGGCCAAGCTTCTTTTTGGCCAAGCTTCTTTTTGGCCAAAAGTGCTTTTTTTTTTTGCCAAAAGCACTTTTGGCCAAAAATTGAGGTGTTTGGCCAAGCTTTTGGAAGGAAAAAGAGTGTTTTTGAGGAGAAGCAGAAGCAGTTTTGGAGAAGCAGAAAAAAGTAGCTTCTCTCCAAAAACACTTTTTTGAGAAGCACTTTTGAGAAAAATACACTTACACTAATTGCTACTCAGAAGAACTTTTCAAACAAATTAGCCAAACACAAACAACTTCTCACCAAAAGTACTTTTGAGAAAAGCACTTTTGAAATCTAAAAAAATATTAAATTATAAAGCAGCATGATGTAAAAATTATTTCTCGAAAACATTGGTTTACCCAAAGGGTAAAATGTTAGGATCGGAATAATCAGGTATGATGCGTAAGCTAGTAAAACAAATCTTGAACAACGATAAATCAGACAATAAAAGAGAAATATACCAATAGAGACACAAATATTTAACGTGGTACGTTCAATTGACCTACGTCCATGGCGGAGATGAATAGTTCACTATATAAAAGAGAGTACAAATATTGAGAGAACAACCTCACGAACAGCCAAACACAAGTGGCAAAATAACACTTGTCCCGAAAAGTTCCCCTAAATAATATTCTCAACCCCCTTATAGCTATATTTTGAAAGCTACCGAATAAGAAGGAAGGATTATTAATTTATAAAAATTTAAAACTTTTTAGCCAAATATGAAAGGTTTATAGTTTCACAAATTCAATTATGATAAATATATTACTTTTTCCTTTAAAAGATAAAAAAATCAAGTGTAGTAAGAAAATCAGGAAAAAAATGTAACATAAAAATGAATTGTATTTGACAAAGCAGTCTATGTGGCTACAACATAGAGTTCCCCTCTTTTAATAATTTTGCTGAATAGTGAATACCCTCATTAAAGTCTACTATACTAGTAATAGTAGCAGTACTATTTTTTGGCCATGGATACAACCATTAAAACCACAAGAAAAGTTGCAGAGAATCTCCAGTCAAGTCTAAAGATAGACTCATACTTCTGTACAAATACAAGCAGCAGTAGCTGTAATAGTTACTACAGTGAGTTAACTCAAAGATAATGGGTAGTTGAGAGAGAGAAAAAAGAAACAATATTTTAGTGTGTATAGAGAGAGAGAGATGAAAAGGGGAGAAAAAAGTGGGGTTGAGACAGCAGAAAAGCAAGAAAATTTAGGGGAAAAGTTGAAGAAAATAGGGAAAAGAGGGGGACATAACACACCAGTAATACCCTTTTTGAGGCTCCAAAATTATCATCATCATAATAATAGTAGTGCTACTGTTGTTGTTCAAGAAAGTGAAATTGGAGAAACCCCTTTTCATAATTCTTCTGTTTCTGCTAGAAAACTTGCTGCAATTCTTTGGGAGCTTCATCACTATAACATACCATTTTCTAAAATGCATAGTAGTAGTAATAATGTTGTTCCTCATTCAAGAATCAGACGTCTTCAGCCTTATCACCACCATAGAAATCATCTTTATGAGGATAGTAGTAGGGTTCTTGAACACCCTGATCCTTCACCAAGTTCACCTGACCTGGTAATTTTAGCTACTTTTGTTCTTACCCTTTTGTTTTAATAGTGGTAGAAGTTGGTTTTTTTTGTTAATATTGTATCATTTGGTGGATGGTTTTTGATTATATTTTCTTGATTGTTTGTGGTAAAGTTGGAATTTTTGAGTTGATTTATAGTTATGAGGGTGTTTGCTAACTTATTATGCTGTTGGAGTTTCTAGCTCATCAAAATTCTCTCTTGTTTTTTCAATAGCTCTGTGAATGGCAATTACCCTTTTGGTTACTAGTGGCAGAACTTGGTAATTTAGCTAGTTTTCTTGTTTATTTGTGGTCTCACCTTCTCTGGCCGAGGGTCTATCGGAAACGGTCTTTCTGCCCTACCAGACTAGGGGTAAGGCTGTGTACATGCTACACTCCCCCGACCCCGCTTGTGGGATTACACTGGATGGTTGTTGTTGTTGTCGTTCTTGATTATTTGTGGTAAAGTTGGAACCTTTGAGTTGATTTTATAGTTTTGAGGGTGTTTGGCTAACTTATCATCAGAATTCTCTTTTGTTCTTCAATAGCTCTGTGAATGGCAATTACCCTTTTGTTTAATAGTGGCAGAACTTGGTAATTTAGCTAATTTTTGAGGTTTTGGCTAACTGATGTTGTTGGAGTTGCTAGTTTTTACAGTCCCCTTTTGATTCTCTGTCTCTGATGTTCTTTTGTTCTTATTCATCTCAATTTGATCCACAAGACTTCAACTTTTACAATTCTAAATATGCCTCAGATTCTTTATTTATTTCAAATACTCTTGGAATTGGTTATATTATTTGAGTATCTTAGTGCGCAAGATATACTGCTTGGTTTGCCCTAAAGATTGTAACTTTTTATTGATTCCTTACTGCATTTCAGTGTGATATACTTTTAGTCATCGTTTTGTCTAAGTTCCTTTTCATGCCTTTTAATGCTGTGCTGTTTCGAACTCGGGCTGAGATATAATCTCTGTTGTGTTAGAATGAAAGGTTTTGCAATGAGCAGATGGATATGGTTGATTCATATGACCGACAGTAGATTAGTTTTGCATTAAGGCGCGGTTCTTGTTGTTGTATTCTTTGCTGTTTGAGTTCTTATCTCTTTTCGAAGTTAGAGTACAATTTGAGTTTGCGAAGTTTTGAAATTGCTCAGCATTCACTGTGACATTTGTGTTTTTTTAATGCCAGCCAGGAAGTGCAGGCAGTTTGAGGAGGCATGTTGCTGCATCATTGATGCAACATCATCGATCAATTGAAAGGACCAACCATGCAATTCAACCTGTATCTCCTGCAAGCTATGGAAGTTCAATGGAGGTAAAGAGAGTTCGTAATTTGCATCGATGACATCTTTATGGGCAATACTTAACTATACTAGGGAGAAAGTCAATTATGCAATATTTCATTAAGGAATTTAGAGCTGATGGGAACTGAAGGGGAGCGTTGGAGCAACGGTAAAGTTGTCTCCATGTGACCTACAGGTCACAGGCTCGAGTCGTGAAATCAACCGCTGATGCTTGCATCAGGGTAGGCTGCCTACATAACACCCCTTGGGGTGCGGCCCTTCCCCGGTCCGTGCGTAAATGCGGGATGCTTCGTGCACCGGGCTGCCCTTTTTTTAGAGCTGAATGAAACTATTTCTCAAAGTAACTTAGGTAAAGAGATCTTATACTCTTTGCATCGTAAATCCTCGAAGCCTAATGTCCATTAACTTTAGTTGACTCTTTGCAGCCATAGAATAAATGTCCTTATATCCTAGTTGTTGATTATTCCAATTTTCATAGCTTCTTTCACTGCGAACATCTTGAGAGGATCAATTTTTTTTTTTTCCAGAGGACATTTTATCTCATGGTTCCGAAAAATGATTAGTAACTTAATTGGCCATTATTGTTCATTGTGGTTGGGGGAGTCCTCTCCACACCAGTTGGTCAAGAGTTCAAGGCTGATAGCCTGAAAGTGATTAGTAACTTGAAAAACTTTGGCTCCACTAATTATTCATCTCGGTAACTATGGAGCAGTCGTCAGCTATCCTATGACCAACATTCGGAAGTTTCTCTTTAGTTTATCTTCAATGTCTGTTTGTTTCCTAGTTATTGCTGAATTAATCTGATTGATAACTGCAAAATAAACAATTAGGAATGCAGTTGAAGCAGGCTGTTCCATTCCATTTTCTTCAATCGCTTTTGAGCAGGATATTGTTCCAGTGGATATCGGACAATTTAGGGCATCATTAAAATCTGAATTCTAAGAAGTCTGTTCCACTGGTGGAAGACCTGCAGGAACAGTTTCTTTTAATATTTATTTCATTTTCTCAAGACTTGATGCACGAGGCCAATGGTTCAAATCCCGTTAACAACATTTTCTTGTTGCCACCCTTTTGGTGCTATAGTTTGTCTGTAGCACGTGCCCCTAGTTTCTCCTTGAATGGATCTAATGTGACTTGTGATTTGCTTCTAGGTAAACCAAAAAGAATGCTTATGCCAAGTACAACGAACGAAAATGACCTTAAAATTATTCTTCTGCACCTTTAGATTGGTAGATGATACGGGGAAAGTACAACGAACGAGAACATCACTCAATGACTTGTTGTTTTACAACAACAACAACAACCCAGTATAATCCCACAAGTAGGGTCTGGGGAGAGTAATATGTACGCAGACCTTATCCCTACCCCGAGGGGCAGGGAGGCTGTTTCCAGGAGACCCTCGGTTTAAGAAAGCAACAAGAGACGATATATTAGTACTATCAATAGACTCATACTAAAATAACATAAAATACATACCATACCATAAAATAACAAAATAACATCAATATAAGAAATATAGGAAAATATCATGTAAATTCTTTCCTAATAATGCATCTAAAGCTTCACATGTATATCTTTCAGATTGCACCTTACAACGCTGCAGCAACACCAACTAGTTCTATAGATTTGAAAGGGAGAATTGGAGAGGCAAGTTACAGCCTAAAAACATCTACGGAACTACTAAAAGTACTGAATCGAATCTGGAGCCTGGAAGAGCAGCACGCATCCAACATGTCACTCGTGAAAGCATTAAAGAAAGAACTAGATCATGCTCGTGTCCGGATCAAGGACTTGGTGCGACATCAGCAAGTGGATAGACATGAAATAGATGAATTGATGAAGCAGATAACAGAGGAAAAAGTGGTAAGGAAAAGTAAGGAGCAAGATCGGATTAATTCTGCTATTCAATCTGTCAGAGATGAACTGGAAGATGAAAGGAAGCTAAGAAAACGCTCAGAGACCCTGCATCGGAGGCTAGCTAGGGAGCTGTATGAGGTGAAAACATCTCTTGCTAATGCTTTGAAAGAAAGGGACAAAGAGAAAAAATCGCGACAACTTCTGGAAGACCTCTGTGATGAGTTTGCCTGGGGAATAAGACATTATGAGCAAGAGCTTCATTCTGTAAGACAGAAATCTGACAAGGATTGGACTGAAAGGACTAATGGCGATCAACTAATTCTGCACATTGCTGAAGCATGGCTTGATGAACGGATGCAGACAAAAGTGGAACCTCAATGTGGTCAAGGTGATAAAAGCTCAATCGTAGAAAAATTCAGGTCTGAAATAGAGACCTTTCTTCAAACTAAACAAACTGATATCAGGAATAATGGTCGCTTAGGGAATCCCACCGACCGAAGAGGTTCTCTGGTTTCTATCCCTCTTAATGTTCCTGGAAGTGCTCCACAAGATGAGGGTGACGACGACGATTCGGTTAGCAGTGATTCGCACTGTTTTGAGTTGCAAAAACCAAGTGCTGCTGAAGAAACAATGAGGCCAAATTACATTTTGAGGAAACCTGCGTTACACGAAAGGTCAAAAGGTAGCAGCGTGTCTAACTTGCAAGTGAAGTTTGAAGAACAGATGGCTCGAGCTTCATTACCAAGTGAAAGCAGGAACCAGCTTGACGATAAGGATCCGGGAGAAACTAGTGAAAAGAACCAAGTTGAAATTAGCACTTCGAAGAAGTTCGATATATGTGAAGTAACAGAAGAAAGTAATAGTTCTGGGAAAAGGAATAAAGCTGATGGAACACCGGGAGTCAACTCAAATTGTATGATTGATGAATTAATTAGAAGTCACTATTTATTGTCAGAAGGTGGAAACATGCCACCTGAAAATGATTATGAGTTAGCTTCTTATGGAACTTCAGTCAGGAATGCTCGGGCTAGTCCGGTCAGGCAATGGACGGAGAAGCTTCCTCCCTCACGTGAGAACATATCTGAGTCATCAACTAAATTGCCACCAGATTTAAAGGAGAATACTTTGAAGGCCAAACTACTGGAAGCAAGAACAAGGGGTCAACGTTCACGATCACGTTTGAAAGGCACCAAGATTTCCTTCTAGTTCTAATGTTTAAATGCTTTGGTAGCTTGAAACAGCATAATGCATGTCAGTATTATGGAAATATGTACACCAGATAAATAGTCGGTGCATGTCAAGTCAACAACATATATAGATGAGATGAAGCAAAATATTTACTTCTGAATCCTAACGGATCCTTTTGTAACGATGGATGAGATGGCAAGTTCAACTGTAACAGCTCAATATCATGTTCGAGTGCCTCCACGGAGATCTGGATGTTCTGTTTAAGTGTGGTTATTAAAGAATCTTGTTACATTAGCTGCACATCATGTACATTTTACAGAAAGGTTACTACTTTCCTTCAGTGTACATGGAACTTTTGTTTATATTGAATGCTTCTAGTCTAGGCATGTGCTAGGAGGTCATGCGTTCGAGCTGTTTCCTGTGGAAATAGCCTCTTGTAAAAATGTAGGGCAATAGATCCTTGTGGTCCGACCCTTCCCAGGACCCCGCACATAGCGAGAGCTTAGTGCACCAGGCTGCCTTTTTTTGCTTCTGGTCTATGCAATCTTTTGACTTGGATGATTTTTGTAAACTAGTACAGTGACACAAGAGAAACTTGCTTTTAAAGGTACATAGGATTCTTGGTCTTGGTCCCCTTATATAATTGATTGTGTTTTCTCATTGAAGTCTATAACACTTGTCCATAAGTTATACAGTGGTGGACCTGAAAGCAAGGCTAGAGACAATGAGACATCATGTCGTCAGATATTTTCACCAAGGTGAAATGCAGGGGCGGCTCAAGTATATGCGGCCTATATGAAGCCTACATTTTTAAAAGAAAGTTATACGATATATTTTTTATTTAAAGTTTATTTTTCTAGTTTTTTGAGATACAAAGTGTTAATAATTCTATTTTTCTAGCTTTTTGAGATATAAAATGTTAATAATCCTTTTTATGATCGATTTTCCTTAATAATTCATTTTCAATTGATAATATAGCCAACTCATTTAATCTTTCTTGAGATACTGTTAATTTTAGATAAGATTTTATAGAGCAATAGAAGTATAGAACTATTGGAAGCTTAAATTTCTTGGAGAAAGAAGGTGAGTAAGAATATTAAAGAGAAAGACAAAAAATATGTAGGGGTTTCTGAAATATGAAGAGATCGAGAAAAGAAAGATTGACTTGGAAAAATTACAAAAGGGAGAGTAAATTTTTTACACGTTATCTAATGAAGGAGTAAGAAGTGAAAAATTAAAATGTTGGAAAAACTATTCATCTACCCATGTTTAAGTAAGTCAAATTATTACTTTATTTATGTATCTAAAGAGCTTTCTTTTCTTTTATATTAAAAATTCTACTCTTGTATTAAAAACTAAATATTATTTTTTAAATACCTATTGACCTATTATTTTAAAAAATGGGTCCCCCAAAATTTGGGGGCTAAGGCACAAGCCTTACTACTCAACACATTAGAGTCGGCCCTGGTGAAATGCCGGAAGGTGAAAACACAAGATGGTTTCTTTCATTCTGCCTAAGTCTTTGGTAGACAAAATATTACACCCCATGTTTTTGTACGTGAAAGTACGCTATAAGTAAATTGATAAAAAGCTCAGAAATGAGATGTTACATCCCGCATATTTGTACATTAAGGTTTCGTCGTAAGTTAATCGATGTAAGCTCGGGAATGAGATTATTTTTGAGGTTATAAGTATCATGCTATTTCAAACAAGTGATAAGTAAATTCGTGAAGGTGAGAGGGTAAACAAATCGAAGAACTGAGTTTCGTCGAAGTGTGTCATTTTGAGATAAAATACGGTCCAAGGTATAATACCCGGTATTTATGGACTTGTGTCATACAAGGTACCACATAACCATGATAGTGAGGTGTATAAGGTATATTCAAAGTGAGTAGTATTTTAAGTAATTTGAGATAATTATTAATTATATGAATAATTGATTAATTATTGATTTGAGTGGGAAATTAACAAGTTAATTAAACGTTTGAGAATAATTATTTAAGTGAGATCTTGGATAAGTATTAAGGGGTAAGCCATGTGAGATTATGGGAATGTGGCAGCCAAAGAGGTCTTGCATAATGACTCTTAAATCCCATAATAAGGTGGCAAAAATTGGAGAATGTTTGGTGGCGAAGTCTTACAAAGTGGGCCCATACCACCAAAACTTAAACATCTCTTTAGTTCACAAAAGTGGAGATGTTTTACATCTACCAAGTAACGTATTTTCAGCAAGAGAATCCGTACGAAGTTATATTATGTAATAGTAACGGGATTTGCAATTCTAAGGGAGCTCGGTACAATCTTCCTCAAGAATATCATACGGATTTTTCCCTACTTCAATCCGCCGTTACGTGATATGTCGCAATTGACGTGTGTTAGAGGGATTGTCAAGAGAATCGGCTCAGGTATGTTAAGGTTATCCCTTCCTTCATTTTGGCATGATCTCGTAACTGCATGTGTTTGATGACGTGGCATAACGAGAAGTTCATACTCCCGAATTTATATACATTATCCTAGTCTCATAAGTTACAGTATTCTCCCTTATCGGGACTTTATATTCAATTGAGTATTGTCTTCTTCCAGTCAAGAGAGCAGAGAGTCTATATATATACAGTATATTATAATATTTTCACCACCATCGAGCTATAATCGGTGGGCAGGCCCCTATTGGGCAACCTCTGATCAAATGGTAAGTTATATACCGAGCCTACTGTGGCCGAGTGCCTATGAGCGAGCCAAGAATGGCCGAGATACAGAGCCTAGTATGGCCGAGCACCTATGAGGCCTACTACGGCGGAGCAGTTACATGTTCCGATCATTATAGTACGTATATCTCCAGATCATCTTTGACTCCCAGTTACTTTCAGTTATTTTATTGCGTTACATACTCGATACATTATTTCGTACTGACGTCCCTTTTCTGGGGACGCTGCATTTCATGCGTGCAGATTCAGACAGACAGACAGGTAGACCTCCTCAGTAGGTGTTGCCCGAGTTCAGCTTGATCGGTAAGCTCCACGTCCTTCGGAGTTGCCGGCTCTAGAGTTTTGTGTACATCTTGTGTATATATGTATATATGTTATGGGTAGGTTGGGGCCCTGTTCCGATCACAGTACATCCATCTGTAGCGGCTTGTAGACATATCCTGTCAGTTAGTGCAGTATGTTGGGCTTGTAGGCCTTGTATGTATATTTTGTTGGTTTTTTGGCTGTAGTAGTTATGACGGCCTTGTCAGCCCAGCTTTATGTTGATGTTTAGTCAGCGTTAGTTTTCGTTCAGTTTTATATTTTGCTTAGCAAATTGTCTTGCAATGTGGCCCATGGCCAAAGTATGACATTATATGTTCAGAGTCCCTTAGTGGCAAGCTGGTACGCAAGGATAGGTGAGTCACCGGGTGCCGGTCTCGCCCCCAGGTACGGGGCGTGACACAAAATTACCTGAAACAGGTGTTGGTGGAAAGATAGGAAATAGTCAAGATGGACTCAAGCTGGTTCAGACATCACCGTCATCCAAAGAGAGAAAAAAAATTAAATACAAAATCACAACTTTGAAAGTTCTTCAGCATGTGTAAGAACATGTTCCATTATACAAGGTCCCCTTCATCAAAATAACTGAAAGTATTAAGATTATTAATTTAAGTCATCTTCCTTAAGATTAGATTCTGTCTTTGGAATGAAAGGCAGTATTTCCTTCCTAAGTTCAATAGCAAAATCTGACACAAAATCTAAAATGAAAAACTTCATGTTGGGCTTCTATTTTCTTTGAGTTTCACTGCTTAATAAGTCCAATGCTCTCCTTAATTGGAGAAAAAAAAAATATAGAATAGCCAGATTTACAATTGGCAATTGAAAAATAGACACAGCTTCAAAAGTAATTAAAATTTAGCTACTTTTTCATGTAAAGATAATATCTGAACAAAAACACCTTTTAAAATTTGAAAATATTCTAGCGTAATATGTTAAGTTCGATTTTTTTACGTATGAGCTTCCAATATAATGTGCTGAAATTTTATAATTTGCCGGAGTTCCAACATAATATGATGAAAATTTATGTGCAAGAGCTCTATAATCCATCATATTATGCTGTAACTTTCGGGGTGTTGGAGTTCCAACATAATATGCTAGAAGTTTATACGCAGGAGCTCCACAATCCAACATATTCTGCTGGAACTTTTCGTGTTTCACCAAAATAGTGACTATTTTTCAGTGACTCTACAAATACTGGCTATTTTTCAATTACTAGCGAAAACTCGCTAGCCTGTGATTCACCTTTAATTGCTTCGTTAGTCTCTGCTGATATACATTTGGGCCTCACTCAAGAAACATGGAACAATCGAACGATTTCGTTGTGTGTGCTTTCTAAACCGGATTATATATAGGATTTTAGTCATATATATTTACAGTTTTACATTATTATCAGTGGCGGATCCAGAATTTTAAAGTTGTGGGTGCTTGCCGATTAAAATTCTAAAAGAAGAGAAAAAAAGAGTTTAGTTGTGGGTGCTCACTTAATTTTTATCTAAATATTTTTATATTTGCCTATGCAAATTTACTAGATATGATCAAAGTTAATGGGTGCTTTAGCACCCACAAATGCCTAAGTAGATCCGCCACTGACTATTATTGTAGCTTACTCGTTTGTAACAAGTCAATATACCATATTTTTCTATTAATTAGCTTGGATTGAAAGAGCTGTCTAATAACCTTGGTCAAGAAAATGCTTATATAAAAAGGGAGTGGAGTCTCTTACAAGATCTTTCTTTTTTCTCTTTTCTTGTGTTAGTGTGATGCTCGTGACGGAGGGCAGTTTGATGAGGGCGGGTCAAGCACGATTGACAGGCTTTTAGGATGGCAAGATCTTAAGGGAGGGGGCACATGTCACTTTAGACGAATCCCACATCGGAATGGGAGAGAAAAGTACTTTATAAGGCATGACACAATTTTATTTGGTACGCGCGCTTTGAGCTCGATGATGGCGTAGTCCAAGGGACAAATCTGAGGTTTGTTGGGCCAAAGCGAATAATTTGTGACATGGGCTTGGATCGTGACATTTAGTTACACTTTGAATTAAGAAAAGGAAAACTACCATCTATGTCCATTCATAAGTAGCTCATTACAAAAATTGGCCAATTCATAAAATATTACTAATATTAGCCAATTGGCTATTTATCGCAAAAAATGGTCAAATTTTTGCTTTCTTTTGAGCGGGTATTATTAGAATAGATTGAGTACATCTTAAGGAGCTTGAATCTCAATTTTGGATGATTTGGTGAAGTTTTGAGGTGGTTTGAATTGAAAATTCGAAGTAAAAACTGAACATGAAAAAAAAAGATATGTGTATCACATATGTATCATATTTGTATCAATTGT